CGGCGTCCCCCTGCCGCTGCCGGCCGGCCGATTCAAGCCGCATGCCGACGGCGCGGTGCAGTTCGGCCTGCGCCCGGAGCACATCGGCCTGGTGCCCAAGCCTGGCAGCCTGCCGGTGCAGGCCACGCTGAAGTTCTGCGAGCACATGGGCTCCGAGGTCTTCACCTACTTCGACGTCGGCGGCGTGGCCTTCAGCGCCCGCGTGCCGGCAGAGGACGGCACAGCCCTGACCGCACTGCCCCGCGGCGCGGCCGTCACGCTGCACTTCCAGCTCGCCCACGCCCACCTTTTCGTCGCCGACGACCACGGCGCGAGTCTCCTCACATGAGCTTGAGCCGCCGCCTCGTCCTTGCCAGCGGCGCTGCGCTGGCTGCGCCCTTCGTCCATGCCCAGGACAAGCCCGTGCTGCGCTTCGCCTGGTGGGGCGGCGCCAGCCGCCACCAGTCCACGCTGGCCGCGCTGAAGGTCTTCGAGCAGCGCCACGGCGTGCGCGTGAAGGCCGAGTACATGGGCTTCAACGGCTACCTGGAACGGCCTGACGACGCAGATCGCCGGCCGCTCCGAGCCCGACGTCATGCAGATCAACTGGGCGTGGCTGGCCATGTTCAGCAAGCGCGGCAACGGCTTCACCGACCTGAACAGCGTCGCCAAGGAACTGTCGCTGGACCAGTTCACCGAAGACGACCTCGCCTACGGCCGCGTGCAGGGCAAGCTCAACGCGCTGCCCACGTCCTTCAGCGCCCGGGTCTTCCTGTGGAACCAGACCGCCTTCGGCCGGGCCGGCGTGAAGCTGCCCGAGACGTGGGACGAGCTCTTCGCCACCGGTCCCGCCTTCCGAGCCAAGCTGGGCGATGCCCACTACCCGCTGGACGGCGAGCTCTACGACATGATCCTGCTGTCGCAGAGCTTCATCCAGCAGAAGCACGGCACGCCCTTCGTCGATCCCGCCAAGCCGCGCGTGGCGATGAGCCCCGACGCGGCGCTGGAATGGGTGCGGACGTACAAGGCGCCTCGTCAACGACCACGTCGCCACGCCGCTGCCCCTGCGCGCGAGCCTCGGCGGTGCCGAGAAGCCCACCGAGCAGCAGCCCGACTGGGTCACCGGACGCTGGGCCGGCAACTACACCTGGGACTCGGTCATCGGCCTGCGCGGCCTCCACGCTCGCGCCGGGTGAGAAGCTGGCGCTGGGTGCCTTCCCGACGCTGCCCGGCGCCAAGGACAGCGGCCTCTTCGGCCGCCCGACGGTCATGTACACCATCGGCCGCAACTGCAAGCAGACCGAGCTGGCAGCCGCGGCTGATGAACTTCCTGCTGACCGACCCCGAGGCCGCCCGCATCCTCGGCCGCACGCGC